GTATGTACCTCTTGAGGTCGGATGTGAGTTTAAGGCCAAATAGTCTTTCAATGCAAGTTGCTATCTTGAGAGGAACAAGAGACAAAATGAAATCAGAAGACTTTTTCACCGATTCCATTCCATTAACCATTTGAGCGACAAATGAAGGAAAATTAAGGCGGGTTTGGACGGCAAAGAAAATGCTGCTAATAACCTGTTCGAATACTAGACAGATATTAGAAAGGAAGTAGGCTAGGAGAAAGTAACACTCGCAGGATATATCGAAAAAAGGAGAAAATGAAAAAAATGAAAAAGAAAATAGCAAGTAACGTAATTGACAACAAGAGACCATAAATCCCCCCAAAAATGTGGGGACTCAAAAGGGTGGACCTAAAAGGGAGCATATACATTACCGACAATATTAAAATATGGCGGGAAAGAGAGAAAGAACTGACTTGACAATTTTGAGCAAATGAATAAAGGGGTAAGCATTACGAAGTCAAAAACAAATCACTAAGGGTAGCAATAGACACATATGCCTATCGTTCTGTTCACACTCCTCCCGGTCTTTTGAACAGGAGTAGAGGTTTATCCACTGTTTCCTGTTTAGGATTGGGTTTTCAGTTTCTATTCAAGTCTTCTCATTATCTTTGACTCTCAGTAGCCCCTTGCGTCTTAGTGGCATTATTGTCTTCCTTGAGATGAATTGATTAAAAAAATATATCATTATAACGTGTGGAGGACCAAGATCGCCCACGGCCTGAAAAGACACTGAATGAGTGATAGAACGTATTGGGAAAGTTTGTAAAAATGGCTGGAGGTACAACTGAAAGATTGATTTGTTTTTACGGCTTATCAACCCTTTGAATGTTATTTAAAGCCAGAATTTTTTTTAAAGATTTTAAGAATTAAAAAAAATAATAGTTTTGTCTTACACGTCTCACTAACTGGCTCATAATTGGGTAGAATGCATGCATTCCTGCCTTTCCTATTGGTATATGCACGAACGCAACGGGTATTGGAACTCAGCTGTCCGAATCAAAGCCATTATACCACAAGCCTAGGTTACAGCACTTGGTATTTCCAAACAGCCACTCGTTTAAGCACTGACTAGGCTCGTTGTTGCTTAACTTCTGTGATCGTACAGGCACAGGTGATTTTAGGTGATGCGGCTGCAAGCCTGATACAGCTATTGAAATGCATATAAAAGCAGAATAAAAGGGATAGTCAGTGGTCAGAAATGAATACAAACATTACTGATAAAATAGGGCTTTTGTATATATAACGCAAATCTAATGTGGATGCTTGTTTACAATAATAAAAACATATCTACCAAAACTAATTATAGCAGAGCGCGTTCATGCGTGTTTACAAAAATCACCATCACAACGATCACGGATACATTAATTTTGTACTTAACAAAACCTATGGCACCTTCCTTGATGAATTTCAAATTAACATCAAGAAGCTAATTAGAGAACTGGAGTTGATTATTATAAAAATAAACATGTTTGAATGAAGATATGCTATATATATATATATATTGCACGTTCAAAAAACAATAACTCATTTCCAATAGCATTTTCGGATACAACAATACATATATTTTCGTTGTCCTCTTATTACTAAGAGAAAAAACAAGAACAACATCTATTCCATACCTGAAGATGTCTGTAGGAACAAACGAAAGCTTGTAGTAAAAATAAGAACTAATACGGCAGAAATTTATAGAAACAAGGATCTTTTCATTCATAACGGATTCGGAGGTTTTTGTATATTATTTGAATTGTTTGCGACGATGGATTTCTCGCCAATTAAATCATTAACCTTTGCATTTGTTTTTGTGTGAATAATTCAGAACATATATATATATATATATATATATATATATATATATGATATATATATGTATATATATATATATATATATATATATATATATATATATATATATACATGCTATATAAAGATATGCTATATAAAGATATATATATATATATATATATATAGATATATATAGATAGATATGTTATATATATATATATATAGATATATATATATATATAGATATATATATATACATGCTATATATATATATATAGAAAATGCTATATACAGAGAGATAGATATATATATATAGATATATATATATATATATATATATATATATATATATATATATATAGATATATATATGTGCTATATATATAGATATATATATATATATATATATATATATATATAGATATGCTATATATATATATAGATATGCTATATATATATATATACATATAGATATGTTATATATATATAGATATGCTATATATATAAATATGCTATATATATAGATATGCTATATATATATATAAATGTTATATATATATATGCTATATAGAGATATGCAATATATATATTTAGATATGCTATATATATATAAATATATATATGTATATATAAATATATATATATATAGATATGCTATATATATATATATATGCTATATATATATAGATATGCTATATATATATAGATATATATATATATAGATAGATATATATATATATATGCTATATATAGAGAGATAAGCTATATATATATAGATATGCTATATATATATAGATATGCTATATATATAGAGATATGCTACATATATATATATGCTATATATATATAGATATGCTATAACTATATAGATATACTATATATATAAAGATATGCTATATATATAAATATGCTATATATATAGATATGCTATATATATATATATATATATATATATATATATATATATTTATATGAAGAAATATAGTGTTAAGATGTGCTATATTTATGGGATAAAGTGCTGAATATTAAGGTAGAGTGTGTGTAAATATAAAAGTGAACATATAAGTCAACACTTAGAGGCGACAGTCTGTTTCATGCTAGATGCAATCGTCAGGTCACGAGTGCTGCTATTTTTCTCGGCTATTTATATGTATTCGGGTCAGTGGTGCTTTGTGGGTAGTCTATTTTGGCGGTTATTTTACCGGAAGTCGTTTATTTGTTTATTTATTTATTTGGGTTAAATTATTTTGCTTGTTTTTATTCATTTTTTCTTTTTTTTTTTTTTTTTTCTTTTTTATATATATATATATATATATATATATTGCTGGTTTCTTTCCGGGAGGAAAAGCCTTTTGGCCAGGCTGGTTTTTGTCATAAAATATTAGATATCAAATGTTACGATACAGTGTTAATAGAATTAATTTAGAAAGTTTATCACTTAGCTGAGTGGTGTTGGTTCAGTCATGCCTACTACGTAGTGCCGTGAGCTCATGAAAATAACATGTTCAGTCATGTGTATTGGGGCTGCAACCCTTCGTTTATACATGTTCTATTGAAGTCGACTGACAAAGTACTGCGATTAAAATTTTATTGAATTTTTCTTGCATTCGTACAAAGTTTTATTTCCTGGACATAAAATGTAAAAAGTTTCTAAATATTATATATATATATATATATATATATATATATATATATATATATATATATATATATATATATATATATATATCACAGAACTTTCAGCTATTCTATCAGTCATTACCTAGGATGTTCATTTTTAACTGAGTATGTAGATCTTAATATATATATGTATAAAAGAAAATGTATTTTTATTTTTCAAACATGGTCAGCACGTTGTGACCGTGTTCTTAGTTGAGCGGTAGTTTTTTTTCATTTTATTATTAAGCCTTCAATTATTTTAGCCGTCTTTTACATTTTGATGGGCAGTTTTATTTAATTCAGCCAGAATATGAATGTTGATACCATTACCGAAGGCCTGAATGATCTTTTTCCTCACACCATTGCCCAGTTTGCAAAAAAATGAGCCTGGCACAAAACGATTTTAGTCGGTTCTCGTTTTCGCTGATTAACACAAACGGTGTTTCAGTGATTTTTTTTCGACGAATGGTGTTAAGACAGCTAAACAACTTATCTGGAAACATGGAAAAAAAACTCAATTAGTCTAGTGTTTTTTTTTTGTTTTTTTTTTAGATATGAAACATTTTGAGGTCTGGACAGTCACGATTTGGACAGTTTTGCTGTTACAACCGGTATATTAATTACCCACCGATTTCCTTTTAACCGTAAGTTACAGAAACAATAAACATAAGTGTTTTACTGAGGATCGAACTCATTACCCAGTAATAATAGCATCTTCAACTTGCTTATTATCTATTACCCGGCAGTGGGGCGCACCTATATTTATTCAGGTGAGTTTCGTCTCGCCGAAGCCCATCTTAATTTTCTGTGTTTTGTATGTTTGAGAGAATCTTTATCGGGACACGTGTGTCATTGTTAATTCGCCTCCCTTTGGCAGGCCAGGGTACAGAGACCCTTGACGGCCAATTTGTAACCATGTCAAAAATCCGGCAAATGTCAGCAAGTGTAAAAGTGAGGATTTTTTTTTTTTTTGCTAACGTGGTTGCTGGTGGATAAAGAATACGATTCATATTAATCAAGCGGAATCTGGAATCTGTAACTCCGGTGAAATGTCAAGTGGGTACAAGTCCTTACCCATATCTGATCGACACCATCCTTTTCCTCTCTAATTATTCATCATGTCGGATTATTTTGTTTCATAAAATGAAAAAAAAAAATCTCTCCCCTTTAACGCCCCTATCCCTTCAGGTCGTAAGTGATATCTCTTCATGGCGTCATGTTCTTTTCCTATTTTAAGGAAATCACCATGAGGGCGTAAAGAGACATCTACAGCCTAAGGATAGGTAGGATAGATTTTTTAACATTTAACATGCTTGTAAAAAGATGGATTTCTTCATTAATTAGACTCTTTGCAGGTTATTTAAAGCCAGAAAATATTTTTACGATGTAATTTCAGAGATAATAATGACTTAGCGATACAAGTCTAACTAATTAACCCACACCTTGAGATAGAAAAGCTGGATACATACCTTGGTGTATTTGTACGTATTTGAATATAAGTAACTCAGCTGGAATTGGAACTCATCCAAACTTAGAGAACCTAGTATTCCGAAGCGGTCACCCATCTAGGAACAGACTAGAATCGACGTTGCTTAACTTCGGTGATCGTACAGGAACCGGTGTTTCAACGAGATATGACCCACAAGCCGAGACAGTACATATATATATATATATCAATTTTTAAAAGAAATAGTTGCATATTGATTACATTTGTCATAAGCCAACATATATATATATATATATATATATATATATATATATATATATATATATATATATATATATATATATATATATATATATATATATATATATATATATATATATATATATATATATATATATATATATATTTTATCATGTATTTTGTGTATCATAGGAGTTCCTTTTTGAAGAGATCAAATTACAATACACTAACCTCTTTTTTCTCTATTTGTTTATCCCATCTTCTAGTTAAATAAATTCAAAAAGTAAAAGACAATGATAAAAGTATTGTCAGTAACGTTATAGTCGCTGCGTAATCTCGTATAGTCGGTGCGTAATCTCGTACAGCCTTAAACAAGCGAACGAGAAATGTATTTCATAATACAATACTAATATGTGAATATTATTATTGGTTACAATGAAGTAAAACGTCATGTTTATTTTAAATACGGCTGTACTTTTGACTACAGTAAATGGATATATAGTTTGGTCAACGGCGTAGACAGAGCTATCAGTACATATACTCATTTTATATCTCGTGTATAATGCGCCCCCCCCCTTAAAATTAGCTTCAAAATGAGGTCTTCAAAAGTCACATGATACGCAAGTATAGACGGTGTATATTTATGTGTTGTAATTATGTATTTGGGCAGCAAATATACAATTTTTAATGAAACTTGTATAAAAGTGGGATTGCTACCTAGGGAGAAACAATGAGAGAGAAAGAGAGAAAGTGAGAAAGAAGGAGGGAAAGTGAGAGAGAGTGAGAGAGAAAATGAAAGAGAAGGAGAGAGTGAGAGAGGGGGAGAGGGAGGAAGAGTCTAGCTGAATCCGAAAAAATGTCTTGGTTTTCTTATTTGAATTATTTTCCTGATGAATCATAATGTGTACGAAGTTGACGTCCGTAAAAATAAATAAAATGTGTCGGATTAAAACATAGAATACATTAATGCTTTATATATATATATATATATATATATATATATATATATATATATATATATATATATATATATATATATATATATATATATATATATATATATATATATATATATGTATACTTCTATGACAATATAGTTAATGTAAAATTCAAGCGTTCCGCCGCTTAACGTAAATCTGTTTTACTCACGAGATTTTATTCTTGAGGAATAAAATACTTTTGGTGATATTACCGGCTCATTTACAAAATTTATAAAGTCGGAATTTTACAAATTGCTTTATATACAATCCGCTACTCCTCCTGTGTCGTTATCATACCCTGCCCTCTCTCTCTCTCTCTCTCTCTCTCTCTCTCTATATATATATATATATATATATATATATATATATATATATATATATATATATATATATAATAGAAATATAGGTTGATTTTGTTTAGCGGCATGTCAACCTCTATGATATAGTTTAGTTAATATCGGCTCTAAATATTTTCAAGGCAATTTTCTGGCTTCAACTAAGGATAATTTGTATAGACTTTTTAATTTCTGGATAAACTTCAAGGACACATGGCATAGTGGATAAAGACGTTGGTTAGATTCAGTGACAGGACCTAAGGAGTGCGAGTTCAATACCCGGTTAAGGCAGTGAGAACATTCAGAGGGAAATTAACAGGAGATAAATGATAACTGAGATCCACTAAACTAGAACTAGAATTGGAACTAGAACAGTCTACCCCAGTGAGCGAAATAAAGACTTAAGTTCGACATTACAACCACCTGAAGAAGGCCAGAGCGTACAACAGCCGAAACGATGTAAAAATATGGCGACAAAGATGACCATAATAGTCCGAATAATGTAACTAATGTACATAATACCTCATCTCAGAAATATAGACAGATACTGAAGGGCCGAAACGTTGTAATAAATATGGCGACAAAGATAAGGACAATAGTCCGAATAATGTAAATAGTGTAGATAATACCTCATCTTAGAAATATAGACAGATACTGAAAGGCCGAAACATTGTAATAAATATGGCGACAAAGATGAGGACAATAGTCCGAATAATATAAATAGTGTACATAATACCTCATCTCAGAAATATAGACAGATACTGAAGGGCTGAAACGTTGTAATAAATATGGGGACAAATATGAGGACAATAGTCCGAATAATGTAGTGTACATAATACCTCATCTCAGAAATATAGACAGATATTGCTGTTTATTTAACGTAGTAAAAATGTCCTCAAATAGCACGCACACCATGTAGTTAGTTGGTTGGTTGAATTTCTTTGACGGTATATCAACCTCTATAGGATATTTAATGTAGAAATTTAGATATTTTTTATATTATTTTATACTTTTAGAATAAATGTATGCTTTAAGATATATTTTTTGTATATGATAAAATGTGTTGTTGGTAATTTTACTATAAAAATGCATTTTTTACATTTTTTAGTGTTGCATTGTCATTTGCTTATAAAAATATATTGCTGGTCATTTTATAAAAATGTGCTGTTGGTTGTTTAGGGTATCATAGGTAGGACCCTAACAGGCGTTAACACCCCGTCAACATCAGGGATAGAGCTCATGAAAATATGAAAGTGGACATTGATTCATACTGTCCTGACGATTGAGCTTAGCAAGAAACATCTGGGTGTTGAATTCAATGTTCACTCATATATATATATATATATATATATATTGTGTGTATTTAGGCAGCATTTTTTCATTCATATATGTTTCATTAAATAATATAGACTATTCATACATGAATTCATACATGTTTCATTAAATAATATAGACTAACCTGAACAAAATAAACTGAAATCTCCACAAATATTCTTAAATGTCCATAATTGGTAACAAAAGCCGTAGGTTTATACCAACGGATTCCCATACTTAATACTTCTCGAATTCACTCTTGCGTGGCCATGTGTGACGTCATGAGCTGCGGTGCGATTTTCGCTCCCAGCGTCTTATATGCACGTGTTTATCGTTGCTTGGAAATCATCCATGTAAAGAGAAACAGACTATCATCAATTTCTTGTCCGTGTATTGCTTAATATATTGTACTGTAGTTGTCATCTTTGATAATGGCTTATGCAAGCCGAAAGCTTAGATTGGATTAAAAATATGTATCAATATTGTGATTTTCTTTCTTCATTTAATGATAATGTTATTAAGCTTTTCAGACGATATGAAAAGAATTTACATAAAGTAGACAACACTTGTCTCTATTATTTAATGAAACATGTATGAATCTATCTATCTATCTATCTATCTATCTATCTATCTATATATATATATATATATGTATTATTTGATAATTCGTATGGATAATTCCTAAGAGGATATAAATCCAAAGAGAGATCAATGTAAGAACAAAGCAAATGATAATCATACAAATGATAAGTAGATAGTTTAGAAACCCATGGTAATATTTTATTTCGCAAGACCGGTTAATCGATCTCACTTGTCAGACCAAACGATTAATCGGTCTAGCGAAATAAAATATTACCATGGGTTTTTAAAGTCTCCGCTTTCATCATTATATATATATATATATATATATATATATATATATATATATATATATATATAATAAAATAAATCCTAAAGAGCTAGGAAAACCTACCTTCAGGGTAAGCTGACTGAAGATCCGTTTGTGTGAAACCTAGGTAGGTTGTTCCTGGCTCTTTAGGATTGATTTTAGTTATTCCCGCTCTTGTTTCGACGTCAAAAAAGGGGAAAACCTTTTTTTAGACGTCTCATCAGGTGGGGAATCACGTTGTTGCTAACAAATTTTATTCAGAAATACAGTTATCGAATCAAGAATTTGTAGTGGATATGTGCATGTTCTAATGTAACACTGCATGAGATAAATAAATATTTACGGCTCTACTTTGTCTATTGAGCACTATTTTTAAATTCTTGTTGTGAACGCTGTGATCCTACTGTTCGTTCTCCTACACTTTGTTATATATATATATATATATATATATATATATATATATATATATATATATATATATGTATTTAAATAAGTTTTTCATGGTACAGAATTTAATAATAGATAGGAAAAGACAATATTTATAAGGCATTTTTAAAAGCAAAAGTTAAAATAAAAACAACCGGTTTCGTCCCAGGACTTATCAAGTTTATTTATTCTGGGAATTTAAAAAAGCGGGTAAATTAATTTTTAATTCACGAATGTAATCGAATGGGGAAAAAAAATTATTATGAATTTCAAGAAACTAGAGTCCAATAATATTCAGACCTCTTCCAGCATTCCCTCTGTTTACAAAGGGAAGGCTCACGGGATCTGATATACAAGGACTCTAGGACCTTGTGGTGAAATGTGGAGTGGGACCTAGATAAAATTATAAATCGGTCACCACTAAAATTTTCCACACATTTCCTACTATTTATTAAATGTTCAGCAATAGCAGAACCGGAACTGTTGGTCAGTTGGCTATTCCTGGAGGACTGATTCAAAATACTGGGGTGGGGGGGTAAATCCTGTTTTATTCTCGAATGTGTGTGTGTGTGTGCGCGCGAGTGTGAGTGTGTGACATACGCATATATATAATATATTTTCCTTAAATGTTTTCAAATTACACGTTTAGCTTACAGACCAATTTTGAAGTAAACTTTCTGTCAGTCATTGCCTATGGGTTAATGCTGATATTCTTAAACCTCTTAAGATATCGCTTCAGGGGTGTGTCTTGTCTTAAGAGGCAACATCTGGTGTAGTTCGACGCATGTTTGTTTTCATTTTCGGTTTCCAGTATTCGGAATACGAACCCTGTATTAGACAGAAGTGAGGTAAAATGCATTTCTGCCTTCAGCTGATCCCCATTACCAAACCAGACTTTGCTAACAGCAAATAAAAACAAACAGAAACATTAAATTTGCCAACGAACACATCTGATCTTCTCAAATCCAATAAGAAAGGTCGACAAGCCCGCATGATATTTAAGAAAAAC